GGGCAGGAACAACACCACCCAGCCAAGTTCAGGTACAGATTAGGTAGAAGAGTTGTGTTCAGACCCACTGTTGAGGTTTTTCCAGGTAAATACACGGTTGAGGGAGAACCATGGACCTTAAATCAGGTAACGAGGGAAATAAAGACACGGAGGGCACTGGGGCTGTGATCCTAATGGGATTGAAGATTGTCTGGGGGGTCCCAGAGAGAATGACCTGGAAAGGAAGCGGGCCAAAGAGTGGGTGCATGACATTGAGACATCTGAAGTGATGACGTCATTGGTCATGAAAAGTCCAGGGCTTCCTGGAGGCTTGTGTCCGTGGTAGAATGGAAGCAAAGATCATCGGAGAAGAACAGGTAGAGAAATGGTGACTCTGGATCTTCCTTCTGCCTTCTCCATCCTCCCTCCCTTTTCACAGAGCAAATCCCTGCCTTTTTTTTAAAGATCCCACATAAATTTCACATTGTCTATGAAATCTTCAACGAACCAGTGCAATTGGTCACTGTCACAGTATTTAAATCAAACCTACAACAATATCTTTTAAGTTTTGTATCTTCCTGACTACGCTCTGGTTCTTAACCCAACTCACTAACGTGTCCTCTGTATACCTTACTTATTTTCTCCCAGGATTTCGAGGTCCAGGCTGTTCTCCAGCCCTGATAGCAACCTTCCTCCACCCCCCTCCTCTCTAACCGTTTAATATACTAGTTTATTCTTCATTTCACATGATTTTCAGCATCTTTACTATAGAGAGCAATGGCACCTACCCTTTAATTTCTACTTCTATATTTTCGTTGTGAAACAACCCTTTTTTTGGCTCATCATAGGAAACATCAACAGTTAAGTTATGGTTATTCCGAGTTAAGCTCCAGTGTATTTCCTATACTTCCGAATTTGAATCCAGGCGTTTGGGGCTGGCGTTTTCTTGGTCTGCCTTAAAACCTTGGTGTATTAGAAATTTCTGAGTCTTCTATCTAATGTGATGTTTCCTTGGGTCAGAACTCTTATTCACCCAGTTCTGAATGATGACGTTAGGTGCTGTCAAGTCGATTTCCAGCTCAGCGACCTGACGTGACAGTACCTCTGCCCCACCCAGTTTCCTGGACTGTAATCTTTATGGGACCTGATCACCAGGTGGCTCCCGCAGAGCCGCTGGTGGTGTGAATTTTGTCATTTTTGTCCAGAAATGGTTTCTCTTCCCAAGTTCTGATCTTGCATTGACGTCTCCATCCATGCAGTTATTCGAAGAAAAGATCTAGGTTCCTGTATCTCTTAAACTCTCGGCCTGCCCACTAAATCTTTAATCCGCCCCTCATCAACAGCACCTTTGTTAACGTTCAGTCTCATCTCTGTCCCCCATTCTTGGAATAAGAGCCTAACTACCCCCCAGTTTTTTCCACCTCCTTCCTTGCACACTACTTCAGAAGGATCTTTCAAAAACAAACGTAGGGCAAGTTTCTGCTCTCTTGCAGTTACGTCTCACCTTCCTCATGTTGGCATTTTAACGATTTTCCCTTCCCTTGAGACCCAATCCAGACATCCCCTGTGACTCCCACTCAAATTCACACACCCTACGTTTACCAGTTCCACCTTTGTGTGACATACTGGCTTCGGTGCCATGCCATCTCCTCCGGCAATTGAAATTTGTTTCTATTACCCTGTGTCCTGCTGAAAGGAAGGGACTCTGTTTATCTTTGTATCCTCAACACATTGGAGTTGCTGATGGGAAATGCGGGTGTGCAATATATGTGTCAATGAATTTTTTAAAATTTGCAACTCTAAAAAATTTGTCACTGATCTTGTACATCGTGCATTCCATAAAATGAATAATTGCTTTGAATGCTCTTTCAACCTGGATAACTCATCATATATATTTCATTGGTATATGCATAATGTCAGCTTTTCTAATGTATTAGTTCAGCCAACATGCATACCAAGGGCCTCTGCCACCTGATACATTTTTAAAATTAAATACAACTTACAAAAGCAATACGTGTTCACTGCAAAAAGTAAAATTAGAAAATGCTGATGAACCAAAAACTCCACAAATATCCCTAATGCTGCCACTTATGTAGCCTGCAGGTCAACATTTGGGACTGTAGGAATAGTCCGTTAGGGCAATCTGTAAGGTTTGTTGGTCCGTAAACATTGAATTTATACAAAGGAAGTCCAGCCTGACGTGCCTTTCTAGCATTATTTACAAATGGAAGGAATTTGAGTGTATAGTATTTTAAGCAAATCCCAGATACAAATGTACACGTGTATGGAATAGGTAAATTAGGCAACATATAAAAAAAAATATTGTATTTCATAGGTTTAAGTAGATGAGAACTGTTAAACCCTTAAATGCATGTAACCAAGAACATAAGAGCGGTGTTCCTAGAGACTGGGGTTCATATTTTACACACAAAAAAATCACCCAGCTTGTCCCATCTGCACAGAGCTGTGGGGGCCTTGCATCCTTTGGCCACTGTCAGATTGGTGGTGGGCAGAGCAAGGTGCGGCCGCTTCAGCCACACTGTGGTTTAGGTGAGGAAACCAGGCATCGTGGGAAATCAGGAGTTAGGACTTCCCATTGCCCCACAAGGCTCATCCGCACTTAATTCTGTTGTCATAATAAGACATGAACACTCCTCCTGTGATTTTTCTAGTGTTGGAGATTTGGCATTTGGCCCTTTGAGCTTATAGATACTTGAATGTGCCTCACTGACTTCCATAGCCGAGTGAGCATTGGTCAGTTTAGTCCTTGAAAAAAAACCTTTTCTAATACAAGTTGGCTTGAAAAGTAAAGTTAGATCTTTTTAAGTATTCTATGTAACGATTCCTCTATTACAAGAGACCGTACCGGGGGGTGAACATTTTGTTTTCGGTTGAAGTCCACAAATATTGAGACTATTCTTTAAAAAGTGACAGTGTGTCTTGGGTGCTTTCGTTACCCCAGTGTGTGGCATATCCTCAGTAAATGCCCACTAAATTATACAAAGAATGTTTCAATCTGCCACTGAATTTTGTTTTGATCTGTGAGATGGTATAGGTGGTGGTTCTGTGTGTGTTCCCTGTCTGGGATTTCCCAAGCAAGAGGCTGAAGGGACTTTCTGCCACATTCAGCTCCTTCACGATTTCCACTTTTCACTGTGGTTTTAGTAGTTCTCAACTGCAGACCTCACACGTGGAAGCTCAATGTATTTAAATGTTTTCCAGCTACCGAAATGCTTGATTTTATACTATGGGGGATGGGGGGGCGGTGCTGTTAATAAGGTCTTAATTATCAGAAATGAAAAACTGTTTTTGCTAATGTTAAATATTTAGTGTTAGCTTTTTCATCACCTGTATTAGCAGATGTGTGGAGAATAATAATTTGAGCACTTTAACTATGAGTCAGGCACAGAGCCCCCTCTTAGGTATTTGGTCCCACTGACATCTCAGCGAGATGGAGGGACTGTCCCCCATTTTATAAACCAGAACACTGAGGCACATGTCCAGGGTTACTCCCTGAGTAGGGCTGTATTTTACCAAACATAAATCTCTGTGAGCATTTAAAAGGTATTTAATACCAACACTGGTGAGTCTCTCTGTTCAGAGTCAGAGAGTTATAAACGGGCATACATACATTTTCAGGTACAGTCTGTCTAGTGGTTAAGCCTGACACAATAGCATTGGACCACGTTTGAGTAGCAAAAAACTCGTTGACATTCTTGTTTACCATATTATTTGTACAGAAAAAGTAGGCTCATCAGGAACATCCAGGACTCGTCAGTTTGCTGACGTGGGTGGGAGGAAGTTGGTTCAAACTGTAAACATGAAATAACATGATGTCGTGGAAAGAACACTGCAGAAGGACGTAATATGGAAGTATAGGGCTTGCTCTCGGGTCGTTTTCTGTCAGTGTCATACAGCATTTATCTGACCATTACCAGTTGATGAGTCAAAACCCATCACTTGCCCCCCATCCTGCAGTACGTAGGTAAATACCCTGTTCCGGCACTATCTGGAACGTTTCTCATCCGAGCAGCACCTTTTGGTCGTGGTATTTGCCTTGTGATATTTGTATTTGCAGAAAAATAAATCTGGAGATAACCATGATGCCTTTCTGCAACTTAAGTGCTGGACCAAAGCGAGAATCCCTGCTTCTTTCCGTCATCATTATAAATGATGGGGTTGTTGAACTCGTATAGCTCTTACAGCGAAACGTGAGCAAACCCCATGACAGTGGGAACATAAAGCCAGCAAGTCGTCGTTACTTTCAGCAGCTCTGGCTTTATCAGTCTTGCCACCTTTGGAAGGATGAGTCAAAGCTGAATGGCTGAACAGCATTACTCAGTAGTCATTTTGGCTTAGCGAGTTATACCTTACGCTGTGCTTTGAAAAAGGAATTGTGAAAATCTCGCATCTGCGTATGGATCTGATTTTGTAAGCACTAGTGTGTAAGTGTTGCTCGTTGCATAGTAACTACGTGTGACCTGGACTCATGGCCACCTCCCTCTGTATGCTCGTTACTGCATTTTCCGGGTCAGTGACCTCATTTTTTCCCTAGTGTTAAGTCAAATGAAGACTTAAAATCCAAGTGTAAAATTTTGTTAGAGTGCACGTGAAAACACCCTTCAGTTGGCTGGGATAGTTGTTGATCCTGCGTTCAGTCCTTTATCCCATTAAGGCTTGAGCACACTGTGTTTCTCAAATGCTTTCAGTGTTCGAGTGGTAAACAATAATGAAGGCTTAGAAGGAGACTTTCACATACTCTTTCTCAAGGTTGCTGTATTACAGTTAACTTTTCCAGCTTATGTTGACGTCTACCTATATTAGATACTGAAAATAAAGTCTTTGAAGTGGCCCACAATTATTACTGGGCCCTCCTGTTGAGTTTGTGACAGGTAGACTGGCAGGCAGTATGAGATTTGCAGATACTGTATTCATTTTCATTTTGCTTTAAGCTTCACGAGTAGTTGAAGATAGAATGCCATCCTCCGTGTTATTCACACTGTGATTTTGTTGCCCTTTAGGCACTCAAGGAGTTGCACCTGGTCCTGTGATTGGGCTTCAAGCACCATCCACTGGTCTTCTTGGTGCCCGACCCGGCCTCATCCCACTGCAGCGCCCTCCAGGAATGCCTCCACCGCATCTGCAGCGATTTCCTTTGATGCCACCCCGGCCTATGCCACCACATATGATGCATAGAGGGCCCCCGCCAGGACCAGGGGGCTTTGGAATGCCGCCACCACACGGGCTGAAAGGCCCCTTTCCACCTCACGGCCCCTTTGTTAGGCCTGGGGGAATGCCAGGGCTTGGGGGCCCAGGCCCGGGCCCAGGGGGCCCTGAAGAGAGAGATGGAAGGCAGCAGCCCCAGCAGCAGCCGCCACCGCCACAGCCCCAGCAGCAGCAGCCGCCGCCCTCCCAGCAGCCACCACCAACCCAGCAGCAGCCACAGCAGTTTAGAAATGATAACAGGCAGCAGTTCAATTCAGGTAGAGACCAAGAAAGGTTTGGAAGACGATCTTTCGGAAATAGGGTGGAAAATGATCGGGAACGGTATGGGAGCCGTAATGATGATAGAGATAATAGCAGTCGTGAGAGGAGAGAGTGGGGAAGAAGGAGCCCCGACCGGGACAGGCACAGAGACTTGGAAGAGAGAAATAGACGCTCTAGTGGGCATCGAGACAGAGAGAGAGATTCTAGAGAGTCTCGTAGAGAGAAGGAAGAGACCCGAGCAAAGGAAAAGCCTGAGGGGACAGACAGGGCAGGTGGTAACAAAGCCGTGGAACCTCCCGTTAGCCAAGTGGGAAACGTAGACACTGTTTCAGAACTTGATAAGGGGGAGTCTGAGGCCACAGTTGTCAAACCTTCTGAAGAGTCACCTGCTGAGGCTACCTCATCCGTTGAACCTGAAAAGGATTCTGGCTCAGCAGCAGAGGTTCCTCGTTAGACTGGAACTTGTTGAGCTGTGACCGTGATGCTTCCGAAGCGTTGAGCGTGAGGTGTACAGATGCTGTATTATATTCGCTCCTGCTATATCTCAGCCCCGCAGTAGTTGGTGGGGAGTTGTAAGCAATTTGATTGCTTCCCTTCTATTTAAAAATAGCCACAAAATAACAAAAAATACTGAAAATATGAATAAATATGACCCTTTTTGCTGTAACTTTTTTAAAGTTTTGACTTTAAAAAGTTTACAAACCGTAATTAGAAGTGCTATTTTTTTTTTTTTTTTTTTTTTTTTTTTAATTTAAAGACAAGGTAATGGTGGAAGCTCCTCCAAACAGTAGGGATGTTTTTAATAAACTCTATTTTCGTAACAAACGTTAACGTGTGCCGTTCTTCCTGCACTGCATCGAGGTGGTAAAGGATTGTTCGGCATCAGAGTTGGAGCTGTTAGTCCCGAGTCTAAATTAGACTGAGGTGGAAACAGACATCTTTCTGTGGTTATTCTCAAACACTTTCTCTTGTAATACTTTTGGTCTTGGGCATTTCAATCATAAGGTCAAAGTTAGTGGTTTGAATGTTAATTGAGCTCACTGTTAAGTGTTTGCAATTCAGTCAAGGTGGTTTTTCCCCCACTGGCTTTGTGATAAATGTTGCCCTAATTTGTAAAGCAGTTTTGCTGGCGGGGGAAGATGGATCTCAATGTGACACACTGTACTTTAGATTGATTGCCTGGGTATTACTTATTTAGATGATTGGGTGGTTTTTTTGTTTTGTTTTGTTTTACCATCCCATGAAATTTTTTAAAAGGATTTAAAGAAAACAAATCAAGGTTAACATTTGGAACCTAAAAGCTTTTTTTGTCTCCCATGTTTAAGAACTTCAGTGCAGCTTATTGTTTCCTGTGGGCCTGTTGCCTTTACCTTTGTTTTTTTAAACTCCCCTGCTGGGCAGAGGCAGACTGAACTTTTTGCCACATACAAAATACTTTCTCTTCTGCTTCAAACTTTTGGGTTAACTAGGAAGAATAGTTGTGGGTTATGCAGGAATTATAACAGGGAGACATCCAAAGCCACATCCAACCTTTTATCTTGCAGTGGTACAGAAAAGCAGTTACGTACAACTGCTTACCCAGTGCCAAGGAAGATCCCAGGATTTATGGCCTTGTTAAAGCTGTTTTCTTCTTAAATGACATTTTTACAGTCCTCATTTCAGCAGGCTGGGCACTTCATTTTTCCTTCACCCTCATCCCCAGGTGAAGCTGTTTTATTGCTTGGGTTTGTACATAGTTCTCTGCAGCCAGGTCTGTTTTGACAAGCTGGAGCGATCTTCTGTGTTCCTGCCATTAGAAATGAGAGGAAATCTCACATCTGTAGGCTTAAATTCTAAAATTTGTCCCTGCTTCATATTGGCGGAGAAGTTTAAGTCAGACCCTGAGACTGCCTCTGGCAAGAAACATCTGACTGAGTGTCCAGACTACAGGGACTTACAGCACCTGTTTCCAGCTCAGTGTTAGGACCCCCTCCCCGCATTTGCACGTGACAGTCACAACACTGAGAGGGGGGCCTTCAAGTCACAGGTGAGTCCTTTATGCGAGTCTCACCTCCTGTGTGCAGCAGACTGTACACTAGTGAAAGCTCTTGAACGCTGTTGGTTTTTCAGTTCTTTACCTGAACTCATTTTAACCACTTGTTGTGATCATGTTTATCACTGACTTCAATTCTGAAAATGCTACCAACTGTCTCTTTCCAGTACAGCTCTCCTCTCCCGAATTGTCTCGAGCTGATGAAGTGCATCATGGGTTTATGATGTTAACAAACAGGATCGTAGTTCATTCCTGGCTTCTAACAGAAACAATATTGTGCACTTCCTAACTGAGCGGACAGCTGGAATCCAGCTACAGGTTAGGTTAACATTTCGTAGAAATGTGCTTTCACAGGTACATACTTACATTAAGACAAACAGATGTGAATATCTTAACTGAGTGTGTGAATCTTACGAGTTTTAAATTGTCAGAACCCACGATCAAGACATTTCTTTGGCTCCACGTCGCAATGTACATTGTATAGTTCTTCAAAGGCTACTCAGATTTTGTCAACCTCTCCTTTTATTATAAACTAAATGCTCACAAATCTTCAAAAGTGAAAATCCGTGCCATCTCGGCAGGTAGGTATATCGATCTTATTCTTACCTAACCAAGGCTATAACTTGCCTTTTACCATTTCAACAGTTACCAAGAGGGGCTCTCAAACTATATAGCATCTACTTTTAAAAATAAACTTCGGTACTTTAATCAAAATGCTTGGTAGTGAAGTGGGAAGGCACCTTAATTCTCCTGAAATTGACAAAGGAAAACCTATTTGTCTAAGATCACGTTGGTCAGGTTCCGTCTTATGTACATATTGATGGCCTTATTTAAAATACTTTCAAAAGCAAGCTCTATGAAATAGTTTACATCCGTTAACCCTATTACTAAATCTGTTCCATCCAAAATCTTTGAGTATGGGTGCTAATTTAGAATTTCAATTTGGATTCTTTAATAGGCTCCATATGGGGTATCTGTTTATTCAGACTTGAGAACTGAAGAAATTCAGTTATGTTTAATACCCATATGTGACTAAATTTAGCAAAATACAGAGATCACGGAAACACATTTTAATTGAGTCAGAGTTTTTAACTATACAAATCTTTCAAGTGGTCAGATATCATCTCTCATTATAGATACTTAAAGCAATTAAAAACAAAGTCACACAGTTAAACTTTTAAGAGTACAGTGTTTAATGTTTGTCGAGTTAACTTTCTACAGCTAGCAAGATGACAGATGAGTAGTTACTAGGACTCAAGACCATGTCTTAAGGAATGTTTTCTGAGGCGATCCCAATTACCCCACAAGCCAAACGACCTCCAGCATTTCCCGTCTTTGTACTTTCTTCATTTCCACCTTGGCCCAAGTCATCCTCTTTTTCATGGACCTTTAAAAAAAAAATTAAGAACATGTTAACTATGGGCTACAAAGAAATTACCGCTTCTTCCCAGCAACACCCAAAAGACCTTTACAAACCGCGTAACATTACTTCAGAAAACATGCTGAAATAATCCTGTTAGTAAGGAAATAGTAAGCACTAATATTTAATCCAGTAGTAAAAGTAGAAACTGCTACTTAAAGCTTTCTCTTGATATTGCAAATCTAGGAGATGTAAGTTAACTTCAATTTGAACTCTAGGCAAATGTTGTGATGTCTAAATTAAATACTGAAAACCCAAACAATTCTTACAGGCCACCACATGCTGGTTGTAATCCTCCAAGATAAAGTATATAGTAACTTCAGTTATAGAAGTCTTTCTTCTACAGTATAAACTGCTTTGAAAAAAAGAAACTAAAAGTGAATAAAACTATCAGAAGCTCGTGCCTGACACAAGTAGAGGGCTGTAAATAACCAGCCCCCAAAAATAACCAACCCCACTGCCATTGAGTCCATTCCGACCGACAGCAACCCTAAGGACAGAGCAGAACTGCCCCTTAGGGTTTCCAAGGAGCAGCTGGTGGCTTCAAACTGCCGACCTTTTGGTTAGCAGCCAAGATCTTAACCACGGCGTCACCAGGGTGCAAGTAATCCTAAAAATAAACTATTTACAGAACGGAATTTTAAATTTTGTTCACCAAACACTGGCAAATATGATTTTTCTGCTTCGCAACTATGGCTGAAGAAAATTCAAAGGGTAAAGGTCCACTAAAAGTGACTACTGAGCAGTCCCTGTCCCCCAGGTGAGCGGAAGAGCAGGTCGCTCCGGTGGCTTCGTGAGAACCAGATGCAGCCCCCAAGGGTAACTTGGGGCGACCCCTTCCCACAGTCAATAAGTGGTAACCTAGAGTTGAATGTCACAGATTAAAGGCAGGGGAAACCTGGTCACGGCAAGAACATCGGGCAGTTTTAAAACTAGAAAAAGACTACTTTGTTTCTTCAACTTAGGTCTAATACGATCAAATATAAGCTGCTTTTTATTGCTGCCTCTTAGCAAAAGAGTGCTTTTAACTGATAGACAAACTGATCCATTTTTACTAATCAAGTAAGTTAACTGCTTTTTTCTAATCTGAACTAAACGTGATCTACAGGACCCTTAAAAACCAGGATTAATCATCACAAAACTACCTGCCTGTATGCTAGGAGAAATTTTAGGCACATCTTTATCACGTGAACACTTACCACCATTGTGCGGCCAATGATGGAATTGCTTCCTGTGAGCGAGATCAGAGGGTCTTCAATAGACACATGGGCCACGCCATCTTTGTTGGCAGTCACGTTGCCCAGGTCTCCAACATGCCTTACATTGAAGAAGCATCACATGGGTTAGGGCTGATTTCCACTTCACTCAGCATCAGCCAAGTTCATGGCTCAACTCAAAACTGATGGGGTTAGATACCTAAGGTGGGCTGAGAGGTTTAAACCCTTACAATATCAAATGAGACCCACCTTTCCACATCAACAGAACTTTGGACACACAGCTCTTCAAAACAGGCTCCAAGCCTACAAAGTGATAATCTGGGAGAGCCATGAGGAGGGGAGGAGCCCAGCTAACCTTAGAGGTGAAGCACCAAAGGGAAACTTCAGTTGCTGAACTGGGCCTGTTAGATACCGGCACAGCTAAGGCGGCTGTCCCCCAGGCCTCTGCTATAAAGTAATCCTTGTCCATAAAGTCTTCCCAGAAGGCTCTCAGAAAACACACGTAAGCCATGGAGCCTCGCCTGGTTTTCAGTAACAGGTCTGCCCTACAGAAGCTCCTCATGGCTCAGAGCGCTGGTTGGTTTATGTCCCTAATCGCTGACAGCACTGTTAAACCCGTGACATTTCCAGTACTGGTTCCTTCTGGCAACCAAACTGTTTTAAGCCTTCCCACATGTCAACTCCCTAGCCTAGGGAGTAAGCCACTCCAGCACTCCAGGGGCGAGGGGCTGTGTGGGGGCAACAAACTCAAGAGCAGAGATGTGGCAACCACTCCGTGATCTTAGCATGCAACTGGGAGACAGTACACCCACAGCGACCCAAGAAACCATCACCGTTCCTTTAGTATCAGTCAGCATCGTCACTCACCTCTCTGCAGACTGTGGCCCACCATGTTTTTTGGAAAAAGGATTAAAGTGAGGCCCGGCACTGGTACAGCCTATTCACACACACAGGAAAAAAAAAAAAGGAGGGAAGCTCAATCGTGAATCAAAATCCTAAAAAGAAACCGATCATTGCTAAAACCTCCAGTGGAGAAAATACGACCTGCATCATAACGACTTCTAGCAACACGTCAGTATAAGCACGGCGGGCAGGGCGTAGAGACAGGTTCTAAAGTCTATAAGACATTGGGAAAGCGTCTCTTACAGTGAATTACTTGCTGCATGCAGAATCTAACACAGCGACTTAGGTCCAGGGGCCAAGGCCGCAGCCTGGCCCAGCTCCAGGGAGCGGCACTCAGACCACACTGTGTAAATGACACTCCTGTGCAAAGGGGGTGCCTGCCACCCACACACAACACCACTGCCAACAGTGCAGGGGTTCTTTCATGACATGGCTTTCTTCATTCAGCAGCTGATGGAAAATTTCCATTGTTGACACTCTCCTCCCCAGCTTCCAGAGCCCTGGTGGCGCAGTGGTTAAGAGCTCGGCTGCTAACCAAAAGGTTGGCAGTTCAAATCTACCAGCTGCTCCTTGAAAACCCTCTAGGGCAATTCTACTCTGTCCTATAGGATTGCTGTAAGTCAGAATTAACTCGACAGCAACAGGTTACCCAGTCTTCTGAGTGGGTCCTGGTGGTGCCGTGGTTAAAACGCTCGGCTGCCATCCAAAAGGTCAGTGGTTCAAACCCACTAGCCACTCTAAGGCGGAAAGATGCAGCAGTTTGCTTCCTTAAAGATTTACAGCCTTGGAAACCCTATGGAGCAGTTCTACTCTGTCCTAGAGGGTCACTATGAGTTAGAATCAACTCGATGGCTGTGGGTTTGGCTTTCCGGTACCCAGCCTTCTGGGAGTCCCACACAGGGAGAAACACACACGGGTTACAAGCAGCAGCAGAGTAAGGCGAAGTTACACAGCATCATCCCCAAAGCCAGAGACCGAGAAGCCAGGAACAACCTAGGGGATTTCAGTAATTACTGAAACAAATCAAATCTAGTCATTAAATCATTGTTTGGAACAATGACGTCAAGGCCTAGCAAAATGAATCAAGTTATCATAAGAAGTCTGTAAACGCTGAAGTCAGATTATTACTCAAACACAGCAAATGATCACTAAATGCGCTTTAACCCATAAACTTTCATTAGCTTGCTTCTAATGCCAAACTGAGAAAATGGACCTCATTCCAAAGCACCAAGAATTTTGTGTCTATCGTTTTCAGTCTGTATCCTACTTTTGCCCCAGAAAGACCTTGTGCTGGGGAGCACAGTGTGGGGCTATTCTCACAGGTAACAGAGAGATGCGCAGATGGTGCTTTCAACACCCACCCTCAGTCCCCGGCTCGCAAACACCTGGGGTCACTAGAGGATAAGGAAGCAGCTTAGACTCTGTTTTCTAAAAAACACCTGAGACTCTTACATAATCAAGCCCAAATCACACAGTAAGGAAACCATCAACTCCCTCCCCTTTCTTCCACGCTTAGGCATCAAACTGGGGTTCACCTTGCAGTCATGTTAACGTGACCGTTTTGCTCTAAGTGTTGAGGATTTTGACGCTCAGGGGTTACCCTACTCGCCCTGTCTGTCTTACCAGGTTAAGCGAGTTCAGGTCACAGACCAGCACAACACCCACCTTGTGTGTTATCGCCAAACTGGTGAACGTGGAAACCGTGGTGGCCTTCCGTCAATCCTGTGATGCGTCCTGTTACCATGACAGACCCGTCTCCCTTTATTCAAAGAAGAGCAAAGTTTCAAAGAGTAAGAGCTTCTGAAGAAAACAGTCTGTTTACCTCTACCACTCACTCACAAGACGGTAAAAAGAACATGGGCTTTTAAGTCAAAACCACCAGTGTCCAAATCGCAGGCCCAGTACCTTCTAGCAGCATGCCACCCAAAAAGGGACGGGTTACCCACTGAGCAAGGTCCGCACTGGATTCCTTGCTAATCTGCCGTGCACAACTTCCCTCGTTTTCCACATCTGTGAAGCCCGGGTGACACTGTGCACGCCAGATTAGTAAGCAAGCACAAGGAAGCCCGTGCACCTTGCTGACTGGGTAATCCACTCCGCTCCGCTCCCAACAGCTCTCGGCCTCAGTGTCCCCGCCAACAGGGAGGTAACGGTCATGTTCTTTTTACTGGCCAGGACCCTGTGGCTGGCAACCATGTCAAATCAAACAGCATATGAAAAGCACCTAGCAGAGTGCCAATACCCAGCGAGTACCCAGTGTTAGCACGACACACTTTGTGGGGTCTGACTCCCGCCGAGTGAATATGCTCTACTAGTACGTAATTACGTTTGTCTTGTAAACACTTCTGAATATATTATATCTGCACATGGTGAGTGAATGTGTAAAAATCAAACTATTTAACCCAAATGTTAGCTCACCACACACTTTTACGAGCCCCTTGTTCTTTCTTCATGCAGATACTGTTCCACGTGACAAACATATAGGTTTGCTTTTTCTAAAAAAGGCGCCCCGGAACTCTCCATCGGCCCCTGGAGCCCTGATCTCCGCCCTCTATTCAGTGGGTGTTTAACAACTGCCATCACAGGCACTTCTGGAAGAGTCAGGAAACATCCTGTCCCACTGCCCCTGGGGCTGGTTCCAGTCTCACTACAGATACTGTTTTCTCAAGTCTTCTTAGACCTCGAAACCTCCATAACCTTTCCACTCTAAGACCAAAAAGAAAGGGCAAAGATACCACAGCAGGTGACAAGAGCAAAGCAGTACCCCGCGCAGGCAGTGGTGGTGGGCACATCACGCGTGGCGACCTGCCGAAATCAAGGAAGTTACCATTTCAACGACACACAGCATCCACATCCCAG